GTTGGCTTTCTGGGCTACCAGCACACATTGCACATTTTTTAATTCAGCTTTGCTTATTTGATTAAATAAGCAAATTTCAAATGGTCATGCGAGGGTTTCTAAAAAAGAAGGAAAGAAACAAAAACCCCACCAACCTTTGCTAGAAATGTTCTCCTTTGAAACAGTCAGTTGAAAGTGTGCAGAGTACTCTAAGATTATTTAGGATTCAGCCTCTGAATTGTGCATTTTTGTTACAGTATTCATGTGATTGAACGTCGTGCTCTTCCTGAATTCTTCAATGGAAAAAACAAGTCCAAGACTCCAGAAATGTAAGTAAAACACATGAATATAGGCGTGTAAGAGGTTGGCAAGGTAAAGGAGCTTCAGTTTCATGAATCCTGTGGTCACTTCAGCTGTGCATGTGTTAAGCTGATGTTGTCTGTAGGGGCATGAAAGAAAGAAGAAGCATCTGTACAACCATTTCTTGTAGCTTGGTAATGTCTGTGCATTATTGGAGTAGGGGTAAAAGTTTAAGTATCCAAGTGATAGTTAATAATGGTGATGCAGGAAAAATAAAACTAGTTTCTCCCAAGTGATATTGGAACAAGTTCTTGAACTTTATGTGGTACAAAACATGATCATCTTCTAAAGAGATCTGAAAAATTTCATGATACTGTGGAGACTTAATAATCCTCCTTATTTTTCTCTCTCCTCTCATGCCGTGCTATATTTTTGAGAGTCAGGAGTTTTGTGTGTGAGCACTGATCACCGAGTTTGTTGCAGGATGCTGTGTCAGACAAAATCCAAAATGGATTTTGCACAGTTATCTCTGATTTCGTGGTTCCCTGAGCAGTTCATGGGTAATTCTGAAAGTGAGGTGAGGGCTGGAAAATGGATCTTCACAGGTCTGAGATGTAGCTGTGTTTTCAAATATTAGGTAGTCTGATGTAAACGGGAGGGTTGGAGTTGTACACTGCAAGAAGAAAGATATTTTTTTCTTATGTAGCTGTTCCAAACCTTCTAGTGACATTATAATTCTGGAGGTGCCCGTTAATGTAGGTGGAGTTCTCTCAGTTGAATCTAGATTGGGTTTGTACTTATCTCCTGGTGAGATCTGGTATCTACTGCAGAACTTGTGTTCTTCATTCGTAATTATACACATACAGTTGTTTAAACAGCTTTAACGCCTTCCCTGAAGCTGTTTAAAAAAAAAAAAAGTTAGCTGATGATTGTCTTGAAGTATTGTAGGTTTTTCCATACATCAATTTATTAACTTCTGATCTGACTTGGCAATGTAACAAGATAAGCTGGTGGTTTTGCATCGACTGCTTATCTTCATCTGCTGCAAGGCTTGTTACGTGCGTTAGTAGAAGTACATCTCCCCTTCGGACAGCTCTGGTGTAACAGGAAACTCAGTGATTCGGAGAAAGCTTGAAAGATGATTGATTACAGGAAGATAATCAACATCTGGCTTTTGAACAATGCGCTTGTTTCTATTATAATTATAATCCTAAAACGTGAGAGTTCACCAAAAAAAACCCCAGTCATAAATATGAACACCGTTGTGTGCTCGTTGACGTGGACAGCGGCACTGGGCGAGTTGTGTCCGCTCTATCTCGGTATCAAATCTTGGTCTGGTTGCAGAGCAGCTTTTGGGGATTTAAAACCAGTTTTTTTGAGTTAACTACTAAACGAAGCATTTGAATTAGCTTCTCAGTACGTTGTTTCAACATCAGCAAAGCTGACCTTATTCCTCGATTCCTTCGCAGCGCAAACGGCAGTGGTAGCATCATCCTGTGTTGCTCTTCCAGCAGGTGGACATGGCCAGCTTCAGAGAGAGTGCTCTTGTCTTGAACCTCCTCTTCTCAGGCATGACTGATGTTCTTGTGAGGCTTCTGAGCTACTCTTGAGATAGAAATTAGAAACTAAGCTTTTTCAGGCTGGAGAAGAGAAGGATTGGGAGACCTTATAGCAGTTGCCCAATGGACAAGGAGGTTACTGAGAAGATGGAGCCAGGCTCATTGTCGAGGTGTGTGGCAGGAGAAAAATAAGTCAAACTAAACCACAGTGAGTTCTGTCTTAAGGGAAATTTTTAACTGAAGAAAATGAAGCACTGGGATGGGGCCCTGGGAATTCAGCAGTATTCTTCCTTGGAGTCTTTCAGGCCTTGCTGGACAAAGTCCTAAGCGACCTGGTCAAAATTCAGTGCTGAGCATGGTTTGAGTAGGAGATTGGCTTTGAGACCTCCTGAGGTCTCTGGCACCCGGGGTGATTTTCAGTCTATAGTCTTTACTTGCAACTTCTCTGCATGTCTGAGTTGCAGAGGTAGCTATAGCTGCGTCGTAGTGATTCCAAAATGTATTTGATCCGAAATGTATTTGATGCTAACTCTGCTCCATCAGTTTTACTATTCTGCATATTTTTGGTTTAGAGTTTCTAGGACTTGGTGTCTAAGACTGCAAACAGACTGAATTGTGAAAAAATGCTCATCTTTCACATTTGCCATTGATGTGGTCATCACGTGTAATCTCGTGCTTCCTTTTTCAATTGACATCAGAACATCAGGTCTCCTGGTACTCATCCGTGAGCTGCTGCTGGTTATTGCCGAAGAGGGAAGCAAATTAAAGACTCCTCCCAATCCTGGAGATGTATTTTTGTTGCCATTTGGGGATTGTAGGAGTAGCATGTGGTCTTGGCTTTGTGTTTTCTTTTTAGCTAAAATAGAAACATTCCTCTGAATGGAAATGTCTTGCCTCCAGCTTAGTTTTCCGGCCAAACACAATTCCGTGTTTCAAAAGCTGACACAAGTTCCTTCTTGTGACACCAGTGCCTGGGGGATGGTTTCTGTCTTAAAAGGGATTTCAACTAAACACTAGTTGACTTACCCTTCTCGCTGTTGACAAGTTTTAGCTGATGGGTCGTGTCATTGTTGAAGACAGACTCCCTTCAGGATAAACTTTAGGGATGTTTCTGTCTTAGGCTTCTCTCTTCACCTGGTAATGTGACCTTAACTAATAAATATTAAACTAATTTCTGCAGCCAAGACCGCTTTAAAGTACCTATTCTTGAGCAGGTGTTGACCTAGTTCTCTCCAGGAGCATTCAAAAATGTTCCTGAATGTTCCTCTATAGAAGCAGCTCCTTTTTTGTTTCTTGCTTACCAAACTTTGAACATGGAGGAGCCCAACACCTACTCCCATAACTTTTTTTCCAGCAAATCTCCTATATAATTTGGTCAGAATGAAGATGTGGGATTTTGGCAGGAATGTGTACTTGCAACATCTGTCTGCTTATGTCTTGTCTGTGAAAGGCATTGATGTTCCATCTCTGTATGATTTCTGCTTTTTGGTTATCAGCTGCTTTTGCATGTGAGACATCCTTGTCTTGACTTTTAGGGCAGATTTAGGTTAGATATAAGAAAGAAATTCTTTACATTGAGGGTGGTGAGGCACTGGAACAGGTTGCCCAGAGAACTGGTGGATGCCCCATCCCTGGCAGTGTTCAAGGCCAGGTTGGATGCGGCTTTGGGCAACCTGGTGTAGTGGAGGGTGTCCCTGCCCATGGCAGGGGGGTTGGAACTGGATGATCTTTGAGGTCCCTTCCAACCCAACCCATTCTATGATTCTATGACTTTTCCAAAGGGAAATCCGCTTATAACGCGTTGTTCTGAACACACCTTCGCGTAGGGTACTCGCTTGTACGTGGCTGGTTGGTTTTGTTCCACCTGAAGAACAGGGCTAGCAATAATTTTATGCTAGTTTATTTTCTTGTGAACAACTTATATTAGGAAGCATTAGTACATTCCAGAAATTTACTGAAAATACTGAAAAAGACTGCGAAGCGATGTCTGCGGTGCAGGAAACGGGCCGAACCCCCAAACCTGCTTACTTGGAATATGGGACTCTCACGAGAGGTCGTTTCTGCTTTAGTTGTTCCCAGCTCGGAGAGTGGGGAGGGCTGTGCTGGCTTCTGGGTTCTTGTCCTCTGCTTTTCAAAGACCTTGTCTTCTCCGTTTTGCTGTTCTCTTACCTTTCCATGTTGATCTTTTTGTGCATTAAAAAGTCCACATGCAGAAACAGTAGCGTTCCATCCAGGGCACTACTTCTGGTTTTCTGCACAGCTTTTTTCCTTCCAGGCTCACAGAGGGGATTGATGAGAATTATTTACCCTGTTGCCATGTGAAAACCAGACCCTAGTAATTTCTTCTGCAGCTAGTAGTCTGTTGAGTGAGTACTTGGTTAGTGACCAAGCTACAGCTGTAGTCACAGAGAGATTTGGAGCGGGGCAAGGATCCATTTTCGGCCTATTTCCACCAAGAATGCAAAGTCTGCCTTCCAGAAACTGAGAAGATACGACCATCTGCCCATCCCTGATCACTGCACGTGTCCCATGTTTGTAGTAGAGCTGCAGCAAAGGCGTGAGAGTAGGTGCTTAACTCTCCCCTTTGTATCACTAGTACTGGAAGAGCAGATGCTTCAAGGAGTTGTCCTGTCTTTTACCTTCTGACACATCTGGTCCTACACTTACTACTGCTGCTTTTGGTTGCAACCATCAAAGTAGCCATTTGAGTTGTGTAATTTTTGAGTTTTACTTGCCCACAACTATTTGCGTGCTTTGTAATCGAAGCGTGCTTCGCTGTGCTGCTCATCTAAATGCAGATAAAATCTAGAATGAAACAACCTGGAAGAGACTGGTCGTATTCAGTATATATATTTATCGTGAAAACAAATTCTACTTACCTCTTGCTTTTGATATGGATTTGTGAATGTCATCAATAAAAATTACCCCTTGCTGTTCGCTTGTCAGCGACACAGGTGTTTGGAGAAGGTGAGTCCTAGAACACGTTCTGAACTTCGTTGGACACCAGTGTTCATGAGCTACGTATCGATTGCCTTTCAGATACCTGGCTTACCGCAACTTCATGATTGACACCTATCGCTTAAACCCTCAAGAGTACTTGACCAGCACTGCCTGCAGAAGGAATCTGACCGGAGACGTGTGCGCTGTCATGAGGTAAAAGCCATGGATCTTCCAGCCACTGCCTTCACTTGAACAAAAATACCTGGGAGCTGCGTTAGGAGTGGAAGTGCTCCGGTGTGACAGCGTAGGCGTGGGCAGTAGCCATCGTGCCGTTGGTTGGCAGACAGTTGCCCCTCTGTAATGGTAACCAGGCTGTTTTATACAGTTCTTTAGTTGGGATACTCTGCTTGCTGAA